CGGAAAAAAAAAAAAAAAAAAAAAAAAAAAAAAAAAAAAAAAAAGAGTAATCTCGGCCAAGGAAGATATTAATAATCAGTAGACAAGATGACCTGCTCCATGGATAATAGTTAGCCTCTTTCCCCAGGTACCCCTGTCCTTACTCTATGGCTTCATGAACTGAATGGTTAGGAGAAAGGACAATCTCTTCAATAAATGGTACTGGGAAAACTGAATATCCACATGCAAAAGAATGAAATTGGATCCCTATCTTATACCACTCACAAAAATTAACTTGAAATGGATTAAAGACTTAAATGTAAAACCAGAAACTATACAACTCCTGAAGAAAACATAGGGTAGAAGCTCCTTGACATTGGTGTTGGCAATGAATTTTTGCATAGAACACCAAAAATACAGGCAACAAAGGCAAAAATAAACAAATGGGACTAAATAAAACTAAAAAAGCAAAGGAAACAAAGCAGTACAGGTATAACCCAAGGAATGGGAGAAAATATTTGCAAACCAAACATATGATAAGGCATTAATATTCAAAATATATAAGGAACTCATACAACTCAATAACAACAACAACAAAAATGAGCCAACTAAAATATGGCAAATGATTGGAATAGACATTTTTCAAAGAAGACATACAAATAGCCAAAAGGTACATGAAAATGTGTTCAATATCACTAATCATCAGGGAAATGTAAATTAAAACCACAATGAGATATCACCTTACAACTGTTAGGATGGCTATTATCAAAAAGACAAAATAGGGCTGGCTGGTTAGCTCAGTTGGTTAGAGCATGGTATTATTACCACTAAGGTCAAGGTTCAGATCCCCATACCAGCCAGCTGCCAAAAACAAAAACAAAAAAATAAGCACTGGCATGGATATAGGATACACTGTTGGTGGGAATGTAAATTGGTACAACCATCAGGGAAAACAGTATGGAAGTTCCTGAAAAAATTAAAAATAGAACTACCATAATTTCTAGCAATCCCACTTCTGGGTATATATCTGAAGGAAACAAAATCAGTATCGCAAAAAAACATCTGCACTCCCACATTCATTGCAGCGTTACTCACAATGGCCAAGACGTGGGAACAACCTAAGTGTCCACTGACAGATGAATGGAAAAAGAAACTGCAGTATACATACACAATGGAACACTATTCAGCCATAAAAAAGAAAATCCTGCCATTCGTGGCAACATGGATGAACCTGAAAGGTATTAAGCTAACTTACGTATGTTAGACAGTGAAAGACAAATACTGTATGAGCTCACTTATATCTAGAAGTTTAAAAAAGTTGAATTCATAGATACAGAGAGTAGAATGGTGGTTGATAGGGACTGGGGCAGGGGACGAGTGGGAATGGGAAGATGTCAGTCAAAGGGTACAAACTCAGTTATAAGATAAATAAGTTAGAGATCTAATGTACAGCATGATGAGTATAGTTAATAATACTGTATGGTAGACCTGAAATTTGCTAAGAGAGCAGATCTTAAGTTTCTCATCACACAGAATGATAACTATGTGAGGTGATGAATATGTTAACCAACTTAACTGTGGTAATCATGCCACAATGTATATGTATATCAAATCATCATATTGTATACCTTAAACATAAACAACTTTACTTGTCAATTATACCTCATTAAAGATGAAAAAAAATTATAACAGCAAGGATAGAGGTCATGCAAGGGTTTAGCAACATGGATTTACCAAGGCTAATCTGTCTATAGCCACCACTGAGTGCTCAATCTGCCAATAGTAGAGACCAAGAGAGCCACTGATATGGCCCCTGAACCACTTCCACCATAGGAAAGGCAGCACTTGGTTCTCATTGGAATAGGCACTTGCTCTGAATATAGATTTGTCATCTCTGCCCATGATGCTTCTGCCGAAATCACCATTTATGAATTTATGGGATGTTTTATTCATCATATGGTATTTTACACAGAAGCACTACTTCTGATCAGCAGCAAATGAAGTGTAACAAGAGGCTCATGCTCATGAATTCACTGATTTTGCCACTTTCCCCATCATCCTGAAGCTGCTGGGTGACTGGAAGTGGAATGGGCTTTTAAAGATTCAGTGACAGCACTAGCTGGCTGGCAACACCTTACAGGGCTGGGGCAGTGTCCTCCAAGATGCCCTATGTGCTCTCAATCAGTGAGTAATAATATATGGCATTGTTTCTCCCATGGCTAGGATTCATAGGTCTGAAAATCTAGAGGTAGAAATGGGAGTTGTTCCTTACAATTACCTTAATGTCTCACTAGTAAAATTTTTGCTTTCTATCCATACAACTTTGGGCTCTGATAATCTAGAGGTCTTAGTTTCAAGGGAGAAATGCCTCCATTAGAGAATAAGCAATGGTTCTACTAAACTGGAAGTTGATACTACCACACCTGGCCATTTGGGTTCCTCATTCCAGTGAATCAACAAGCAAAGAGGGGATTGCTGAACCAAAGAGGAATAGGGTAACATCCTGACTCTCAAGGTAAAATAGAGTTGCTACCTCATGGAGGGCTTGGGGATGATAAGGAGGAGTACGTCTGTAATACATATCCCCTGGGGTACCTCTTAACATCCCTTAATATTCCCATGTGTTGTTATAAACATTATTGGAAACTACTGCAACCCGAAACAGGCAGGGCTGCTAATGGCATAGACATTTGAGGAATGAAAGTTTGGGTTTCCCCACCGAACTAGAAACCTTGACCAGCTGAGATGCTTGCCAAAAGCACAGAGAATATGAAACTGGTAGTAGAAGGAAATTATAAAAATCAGCTATGACCACATTACCAGTTACAGAAGTCAGGAATGTAGTAGTTGTGAGTATTTAATCCTTACTTTGAAATAAATATATTTGTCTTTATATTACCCAATTCTTCCTCTACCTCCACTGTTATGGATTGAATTGTGCTCTCCCCCACGCACCCACATTCATATGTTGAACCTCCAATGTGACTGTATGTAGAGACAGGCCTTTAGAGAGATAATTAAGGTTAAATGAGGTCAAAGGGTAAGGCCCTAATCCAATAGGACTATAAAAAGTGTCATTATAAGAAGACAGAGAGACACCCAGATCACTTTCTCTCTCTCTGCACAGGCACAGAGAAGGGGCCATGTGAGAAAGTAGCCAGCCATTTATAAGCTAGGAGCGACCTCACCAGAAACCAAATCTGACAACACCTTTATCTTGGACTTCTAGCCTCCAGAACTGTGAGAAAATTAATTTCTGTTGTTTAGGCCACCAATTTGTGGTATTTGTTACGGCAGCCCGAGAAGACTAATAATATACCCATCTCTACCGTTCCCCCATTATCTAACACAGAATTTCTCAGCCTCAGTACTATTGACATCTGGGGCAGGACACTTCTTTGCTGTGGGGGCCTGTCCCACAAACTGAAGGATGTTTAGCAGCATCCCAGGCCTCTGCCCACTAAATGCCAGTAGCACTACCTCTCCCTCCCAAGTTATAGCAACCAAAAATGTCTCCAAACATTGCCAGATGTCCCCTGGGGAGTAAAATCTTCTCTAGTTGAGAACTGCTAATCTAATGTAAGATGCTTAAGTAGTGGCTAACCTTATATATCAGTATTTAAGTTACAGGATCTCAAAGGGGGAATGTGATTCAGCGAGAAAACAAAGACTTTGTGTCTTTTTTGGTTGGCATGTCTGATTGTATGAGGGATAGTTATGTCTTATTAGATACAAGCATAATTTTACTACTGTCTTTCCTTGGAAGCTAAATATGGTTATAAGGTGGGTGTATGGATGCCAAGGTGACAAGCAGTGGACTGCTGGGGTTTGTACTGTGTCAATTTAGTTAAGCCGGAAACTATGCTTGACAGAATCCCATACCCTGTATGGTTCCAACTCAAAGTTTACCAAAACAGGAGCTGCATGAGATTTGGCAGGCAGAAGTAAAGCAGCAGCAATTATTCTCTGAAGGTCATCCTAGTCCAATGTAGTGACACACAGATACCCATTACTCAGTGAATTCCAGTTCCATATCCAGCTCTGCTCCCCAACCACTGATCCTACTGACAAAGAGCTGCCCCAGCCCACTACTTGGGTGTAGACACGGAGGCAAAGAATTCCCACTGATTCCTTAGGAGCTTCCCATTTGCAATCCCACTTCAGCAGCTGGACACTTGGCTTCTTAGAAGATTGGTTGGAGAGCCTCTGATCCACCTACTCCCTTCAGAGCCTCCGCTTTCCCAGATCCTTTCACAATTGTGTAAGGCCTATTTCCTATAATAAATCCCATAACACTCATTGATGACTCTGCTCCCCTGCCTGAATTCTGATGATGCAGCGACGGGGAACCCAATGCCTCTATGCTATTCACTGATTCTTGCTTTAAACTATGTGAAGACAAAGGAAAGCAGTCCACCTCCCTCTGTGCAACCTGCACAACCTTCCCAAAGCCTTCTACTTTTTAATTTTTTTTGGTTGCTGGCCAATACAGGGATTGAACCCTGGACCTTGGTGTTATCAGCACCACACTCTAACCAACTGAGCAACCAGCCAGCCCCAAGTCTTCTAATTAGTAGAGAGTAAGTTAATGTAGATCAGTAGGCAGAGGGATAAAATATCTATCAGTTTTGCCTTAAAATTAAACACTCCAAGTGCTCATAATCCTATTCTTTGCCAAAATAGCCACTTTATGAAGACATTCACAAATTGAAACCCTTCTTAGAATGAAAGCTGCTAAATTGCTCTAAAAGAATTTTTCAGAATTACTTTTACATTAGACAAATTTCATTCAATCACTTACAATACCCACAGGTTAATTCAATGTTTTAAGAAAGGAGAGAGGATAAAAGCAAACAAGTTTTGCTTAAGAAACTTTACCTTTGTATTCTTTATAACAATCGGATATTTCATCCCTGAAAAAAAAAGAATTAGTGATAGATTTATTTTTAGCAAAAGAAGAACAACATTATTTAAAATATTATACTAGGCTTCCCAGTTAGCTCAATTGGTTAGAGCATGATACTGATAACACCGAGGTCCAGGATTCGACCCCTGTACCAGCCAGCTGCCAAAATAAATAAATTAATAAATAAAATATTACTCTAGTAACAAATTTAAATGATTTTCTTCTGTCATAATCATGACTGCACCCTAGTTTTCATTCTGAAGCTTTTTACTGAGTAACAAGATTAAACTAGTTTATACTTGACAACATGTAAAACTCTGGCATGTTTTTTTAGCTTGCTCCATTTTAACTCATTTAATCTATGCTTATAAACCATTCCTATCTCAGCTCTAATGTAGACAGTCCTAGCTTTTCTCTGAACTACAATTGTGGAAATCATGCTGTACAATAGATCATCGTAAATCAGTGTTTTCCCACAGGACTAAAACTATGATATGAGAAACCTTGTTGTCAAGTGATTACCTGATTTCCTGCAGATTCTAGGTTGTTTAGAGAAGAATTATCAAAATGCAAAAACTTCCAATAATAAACTGGCTATTTATAAAATTAGTTCCCACTCAGATACATGGCATCTCAAAGTCTTACAGAGCATATGTATGGCAAATAAGGAATATAATCTACCTGTATATAAATTTGATTTATTATGCTACCTATATGTAACAAACTTAGTTATTTAACAATTTTTGGTCCTCATCTTAGAATTTACAAGGACAATGCGAGCATGATTCAGATGGCCTAGATCTCCTTAAAAATCTGTCAAGGAAGAAAGAATCAAGCACTACTTTTTTTCTTTCTCAAATTTCCCAACAGGAAATAGAAGGCTTGCAAATTTTTCATTTGGTTAAAAAAAAAAATTAATGTCCTCAAAGCAAAGCAAAACAAACTCTAAGTGCAGTCTAAAACAGGGGTGGGGAGAGTTCAAAATGGCTGAGTCATTTTATGACCTTGGGCTGTCATTCTGAAACTTGGGTGCCTCTAAGAATTACTAAGGGCTTATTATTCCTAGGCCCTATCTCCAGCCAGTCTGATTCTGTAAGTCTGGGTGATGCTAAAATCTGCATTTTAAGCAAGTATCCTCAAGGGATTCTGACTCTAACCTGCAAGGTAGGGAAGTGTTTGGGGGCTAATTTTCCATAAACCGCTTTGGCAGTTCAGATTTTAGCATAGGTCAGAAGTGTCTGATCAGTACCTAGTTCTAACAGCAAAGACCCTCCAGGAGTCCCTGTTCTCACGTCCATGTCCCTCCTGCATCTACCTCTGGTTCTGCGCCCTGCTCTGGCCTTGGCCTTGCACTCTCACTAGCACTACCCCAGGCAAAAACAATTACGTTTTTAAAAAAATCAATACTAGTATTCAGTAGAAAAGACAAGGATGGCTTACCATCTTTACTTCTTGAAGGGCTTTCTTTAGCCATTTCAATATCCTTTACTTCAAAATTGGTCAGGACAGAGCCACCTGCTTCTTGGAAATCCTGGGCAAATGATAAAGCCAACTGCTGATAGTCCACAATACCAGTATATGGACAATCAATTGCCATTAGACCCTAGGACAGAATTATGTAAAAGTCAAAATAATACAATCAAGAATCAATGAGGTTTGCTCAAAATTTTATTTTTGGCTGAATTTCTTTAAACACACATTATCCTTCCTTGGCAAAAATCTGATAGTCGTAAAGGAAAAAAATAACATAAAAAGTTTGCTCTATTAAGTGCCCAAACTTGATACTGAACACATGTGTAATGTGTCTAACAAATAAAAGAAAATAATAATACTAGGTAAATAAGAAAATCTCTAGGGCTGGCTGGTTTGCTCGCTTGGGAGAGTGTGGTGCTGACACCACCAAGGTCAAGGGTTTGGATCCCTGTACTATCCAGCTGCCAAAAAAGAAAAAAAAAAGAAAAAGAAAAAGAAAATCACTGTAATCAGGAAACAATTTGCCCCCTCAGAGGAGTTAATTTTGACAGGCTCTTCCTGCTGCTACAATGAGTTTTTCAGTTTTATAATCTCTCACTGTATCTGATTATGATCTGATTCACATCTGATTCTGAGTTGAATTCTGTATCAGCAAACATTTATCTTTTAAATAAGCCCTACTGAGATCTTCGCTGTAGTATATCACATGCTGTGCAAGCTCAGTGAGAACTCAGGGCTGTTCTAGCTATTCACAATTTTTGCAGAGCATTACTTTGTTTTGCTGCAGACCCCATCTTCAAGACTACAAATATGGCATGGAGATTTTATGTGGTTAACTGAAATTATCTCTTTAGGTAAAATGATAAATTAAGAGTCAGGTTTTTTTTTGTTTTCACCACTGTTGGGAAAATAGAATGGTTTGGTCAGGACCCTCGCCTTGGGTCTGGTTGGATATGATTCAGCACATCCTTTGTAATCAAATTGTGTGTGTGTGTGTTGAGTTAGTGCGCACACATGCGCCAATGTATCTTTTTAGTTTTGTTGTTATTCTTGTGTTCTTCAGAGTTGGTGAAGCAGGCTGGCTGGCAGTGTAGTGCCTCAGGCAGCTGCAACACTGCACAGCCATGCTTTCCAACCTGTGGCTTTCAAGGACCTGTTTGCCAGTTACCTAGCTCATAGACCTGTGTGTGAGGGGTCTGGTGACCCAGCCTAGTGTATGAAAGGTTTGTGACCCAGTCTGTGAATGGGCTTGAGGGGTCTGTGAGCTCCAGAACCAGCCTTAGCTCAACAATTGGCCCAGTCGGCAGGATTACCAGCAGGTAAAAGAGCCCGACAACTGGCATGGTCATGGAGCCAGACAATTGGTGTCACAAACAGGATTATTAGCTCCACAACTGGCGAGGTCAGCAGGATTCTGAGCAGGTACAGGAGCCAAAAGCCCTTGGAAGAAGGAAGAAATGTGGCTACTTTTGAATATGCTCTGCCCTCTGGCCACCGTCCTGTTGACTGGGATCTGGTTGCTGCACACTGTACTGCAAGGCAGCACAGACCAGGTACTACAATGCAAAACCCCTTGGGAGGGGGAGGAAATGTGGTTATCCTTGAGCATGTTGTGTCCAGTGGTCACTTTTCTGCTGATCAGAGCCTGGCTACTGTTAACTATGCTGCAAACTGATCGAGATTTACAGCAGAAAGCAGTGTTGTTGGAAGCACAGATAAAGGTTCTGGAGGATGACGTGCAGCGACTGGCCACTCCTGCCCCTCACACCAGGGAAGATGACCAACCCAGTGGTGAGTTGGGGAAAACCATGTGTCTCCAGGCATGACCTGTTGTGCACAAGAAATTGAGACAGTAAAGCAACAGAAACAGAGAGCCCCTGGCTGCTACAGCTATGGGACCTAGAGGTGGATAGTGTAACATGCTCTAGAGATGATATAGTAAATGCATGTTGCATTTGTCTCAAGGCAAAAAGCTTGGAGGGTGCCCCTTAAACCCAATCGCCAGCCGGGTGCTATATAACCCAAGAAAAGAGTGCCATATGCAGATGGGCAGATGACCTGAGGATGACCCGAGAATTTCAAGTATGTTTTCACCTGGTGAAAAGGTGGGAAAATTAGTCTCCGTTACTATATGCCTGTCTCAGTGGCAGTGGTTACAGGAGAGCTGCAGATATGCACAGGGGTAGGGCAGCCACTCTTTGATGGACTGGGCGAATGCAGCTGTTGGAACTGTGTGGGCGAATGCTGCAGAACTGCCCGAGACTGTGAGTAAATAGCCAGTATAAGCCAAGCTGATTGAAGTAATTCAAAAGCCAGAATGTAAAAGGGAAGCAGAGAGTAAAGATTTGGAAAATTTGCAGCCTGGCCATGAGACAGAAAAGCAGAAAGCTGGAGAAAAACGTAAGGTTGAAGCTGATAAACTGTTTGCTAAAGACATCAGCGTGGTGGTGGGGCAGCTAGATGCTAATGACTAAGACAATGAAAAGGCCCTGAGGGCATTTGAAAAGTTTGGGAGAGTGCCCCACCCATCCTAGAAGGACTGAGTTATCCTGGAGGACAGACCTGGAAACCTGCTCCCTGCATCCCAGGTGCTCTGGCTGGAGCAGCTCCAAGTGTGGTTTGTAAGGTAGCCCTGGAGAGTACAGGCCTAAAACCTCAGTGGCGTCCATGTTGTGTTAAGTCTGCAGGCTGGCAGGACATGAGAGCAGAGGAGGCATGGCATCATCCACCCAGATTCCAGAGGATGTATGGAAAAGCCATACATACATACATACATACACTCAGGTGGAGACCTGCTGCAGGGGTGGAGCCACTGCAGATGTCATCTACAGAGCAACGTACAGCAGAAAAGTGGGGTTGGAGCCCCCACAGAGGAAATGTCTAGTGGAACCAGGATGGCGGGACTGCCACCAGGAGCCCAGAACAGTGGGGCTGCTGGCAATGTGCAGCACTGGCCCAGAAAAGCTGCAGGCACCAGGGCAGCTCAATGAGCTGCACTTGGCAGAGCTGTAGGAGTGAGACTGCCCAACACTTTAGGGGTCCAGATGCCCCAGTATGCTTAACATTTGCCCTGTTTGGGTTTTGGATTTTGGGGGGGCCTGTTTTCCTTTCTTTTCCTTCCTTCTGGAATGGGAATGTGTACCCAATGTCTGTCCCACTGTATCTTGGAAGTAGATAAACCTGTTTTTGACTCTTTATAGGTTCACGGCTGAAAGGAGTTTTGCCTTTAGTTTCAGATGAGACTTTGGACTTTGGATTTTTGAGTTGGTGCTGCAACAAGCTAAAGACTTTTGGGACTGGGATGGAATGTGTAATATGTGAATGTAAGGGTCATTTATCCTCACTAAGGGAACATGGTGGAAGATTCTGAATGCATAGGGTGTATGGTGAGGAACCTGAAGGGGTGGATTGTTGGGAAAATAGAATGGTTTGGTCAGGACCCTTTCCTCGGGTCCAGTTGGGTGTGTTTTAGCCCATCTTTTGTAAGCAAAGTGTGTGTGTGTGTGTGTGTGTGTGTGTGTGTGTGTGTGTGTAGTGCACATGCATGCCAATGTATCATTTTAGTTTTGTTGCTATTCTTGTGTTCTTCAGAGTTGGTGAAGCAGGCTGGATGGCTGGCGGTTCAGTGCCTCAGGCAGCCGCCACACCATACAGTCATGCTTTCCAACCTGCGGCTTCAAAGAACCTGTTTGCCAGTTACCTAGCTTATAGACCTGCATGTGAGGGATCTGGTGACCCAGCCTGGTATGTGTGAGGTCTGGTGACCCAGCCTGGCATATGAAGGGTTTGTGACCCAGTCTGGACAACAGGTTTGAGGGGTGGGTGAGCTCCAGACCCAGCCCTAGCTCAACTATTGGCCCAGTTGGTGCAGGATTACTGGCAGGTAAGAGCCCGACAACTAGTGTGGTCATGTAGCTCCACAATTGTTGTCATGAACAGGATTATTAGCTCCACAATTGGAGTAGTCAGCAGGATTCCAACATTAGTTTAGCAAGAGCACCAAACAACCACTCAAAACACGTTCAAATGTCACCTCTCCCATGGTGACAAAGATGCAAAGGATTACTCAAAGCCCATTTTTTCTGAGCAGTGAGAGGCCCAGAAGGGGTTAATTCCCAGGAACCCTCAGGGGAGAAGCATTCCTCGGCAAATAACCTTGAACTAGGGTTTTCTCTCAGTATTTATTCTCCAGGCATGAAAGTTACAGAAAAGGAACATAGGTGGTTACAAAAAGAACAGCAAGATAATTGTCCTGGCAACAATTATCAGTATAGCTGCACCAAGGACATCTGCCCTTAGAGCCAGCAATTTTGCTGTGTTAAAATTCTGTATCTACAACATAGACTTTAGCCTGGGGAAAGTTTTCTGTCTTTCGCAAGCTTAACATTTCTATGTGTAATTCTAAAAAGTTAGGCCCTGTGAAATACATTTGCTTTATAAATGTTAGTATACTCCACATTAAAACTCTGTAAACGATCTACAACACACCCTTATTTTATTTTTGTGAATAAATGCTCAATGTTCCATTTGCTTTCTCTAATTATGAAGAAAAGGATGAGTAGAATTTCACACACTAAGTACTGACTACATTTTAGTGATCCTTGGTAACATCACCATTTCCTGTTGCCTTATTGTGTATATGAGGATATAAATTCTCCCAATCAATTTTCCCTAAGAGGGTAGTCCAGTTCCCAGAATAACTAATGTTCAAAAGCTGAATGCAACTGGTAAATTCTACCACCCCCTGTTTGGCCAGCACAGGTCTGTTGTTGTTGAAGTCATAAATAATATCTGATATAATATTATTTTCAATGTCTCACTTTGTATTCATACCACACCCCAATCCTAACACATTTATGTGCTTGACTCTTAAAAACTCAGGCCAGTATGGGGATCCAAACCCTTGACCTTGGTGTTACCAACACCATGCTCTAACCAAGTGCGCTAACTGACCATCCCTCTTAAACACTTTTGACTTTGTCATCCACTCCTGACCAATGCTTCCAAATAGCTCGATCATGATAAGGGTAATAGCTCACAAAACATCCGACAGTCTCTTTTCACAAATTGGAAGCAATATTTGGTAAACTTCAACATTTTCCTAACAGTCTTGTTTCCAAAATATGAGAG